GATTTTAAAATAACAATATAGAAGATAGGCAAAGAAGATCAAACATTCCATTAATAGGAGCCCCAGAGAGGAAAGTTGAGTCTATGGAAGAGAATAAATAATAGAAACTACAATTCAAGATAACTTTTCTGATTTAGAAACAAAAAACAAACTCAACACCCTGCATGGAAAGGGCGCCCCACTGCATGGCAAAACCCATTCAGAAAAGCCAACACTGAGATGCATTCTAATAAACCTACTGGACTTTAATAAAAATTAGTAATTATTTGGGCATCTAGGTAAAAAGACTAAGTCTCTTACAACAGAAAGAAAATCAGACTGTCATCAGACTTTCGACATCAATGTTTTACACCAGAGACAATGGCAGTTATAATCAGTACATTCAAGGAAAGAAAACACAAGCCAAGGATTGTGTACCCAGCTAAACCGACCTTCCCCTCCAAGGGCCACAGACTGTTACAAACAGGCAAGAAAGCAGTGAATGTCTCCCCAGGAACGCTGCCTGTGGAATCTAATAAAAATAAACTTCAGGCAACCAAAATAACTGGAAAGAGTTTGACATAATGAGTAGGAGTAAGAATTAAATATATATTTACCTGGAGAACTAAGGCTAAAAATGATGGTTATAATGGAAACAGTACAGCAATGTAATGGCTGTTGTTCTGAAAATGTAGGTAAACTATAACCATAAAAAATGGGGTGGGGATATTGTTTTGAGGACGTGGCTGCTGTGTTTTACCTATAGGCCAGTCAAATGGCAGGTGAAAAAAGAACTTTTGGCTTTATGGGCCCTGGTATTGATAAAAGTAAACTTGCCTGTGTTATGGCACATAAAATTGGACGTTATGGATACGTTAACTGGACTGGTGAAAATTTTCCTTTTAATGACGGTGTAGACAAAAATCTCATCTGGTGGAAAGGGGGAAAATTAACTGAAAAAAATGGGAGAAATGGCCAAAGCTATTATGGGTGAGGAGGCCTGCTGTGTGGATAAAAAAGGAGAGTAGAGGTGAGAATGGAGAGGATGCATGAAAAATAGAAGCGGCTCATTGATTGACTGATAGGTGTTCCCTTCGGATCCTACGCTGGGAGAGAGGAAGAGGAGGAGGAAGGCCCCCGTCAGGTGGACTTGGACTGGAGATTCAGCACCGATTCATGGCATTCCTATCATGCAGTTTGCTCTGGCTCCGTGCACTGACACGACCCGTAAGCATGGCAGCCCGGCAGTAACGAGCACTGCCAGCATCCAGAGCTCGCCTTCTAAAATGCCATTCTCTCTTAATTCCTGATTTCAGGGCTGGATGAGGAGATATGCAAGCAGATCCTGGAACATCTCGGGCTGGAAGCCTAGAAAATTCTCCAAGTCTAATGGCGACACGTACAAGAACATAGTTGGTGGCTTAAAGGGGCTCCCACTGTGTCATTGTCGTATCTGTGACAATTCGAGCAACAAAAAGAATAAAAGTGATGGATTGTAATATAATGAATTAAAATAATCCATGAGTCAATAGTGATACTCAGGAATATCAGGCTGGGAGGGGATCTTCACAGAAGGATACTGGCTCACAAATGTTGAAGAAATGACAGGTTTAGAAATCACCTTTTTGCAAACACAAATTTATTTGTATAGACGAGGATCAAAATAGATGTTAAAATATGGGGTAAAATGTTGTTTGAGAAAAAGATATTCACATGGTCTCAAAGTATCAAACCATATGTTACTAATTTAAAAGGGAAAATGGTACCCCATCCAGTGGAGAGATCAGGGGAACAGCACCTGTAGGAAGCGACCCAACTTAGCATCACCGATGATGTGAGAGCCTGCCATCTGTGCCCTCCTATGTGACACAACTGGAAGGGCGAAACAGCGCCTGTGTTACAGTGTGATTAACCCGAATCTGATCATAAAGAAATAAGCAGACAAATCAAGATTGTGAAGACCGGTTGTGCCACACTGGACTGACTTCTTTAAAAATGTTAATGTCGTAGAAGATCAATTGATTTTTTCCAATAAACAGGGGATTGTTCTAGATTAAAGAAGACTAAAGAAACACGCCAACCACTGATTGAATACTGGATCTGAAGAGATGATAGATAGATAGATAGATAGATAGATAGATAGATGATAGATGACAGATAGATAGATGATAGATAGATGGATAGATAGATAGGTAGGTAGATAGATAGATGATAGATAGATGGGAGATGAAAGAGAGAGAGACGTGATAGAATTACTGGGTCAATGGGGAAAATTTGAACTGGACTAGGTATTAGACACTATTATTGTATCACGGTCCTGAGATGCTGACTCACGTGCAGTCCAAGCCACTGTAACAGACAGTGATCAGAACGATTGCCATCCAGGGCACAAGCCCTACATACCAGGCAAGCTCCACGGCCCTCTCACAAGGGGAGTGCTGACATGAGCCCCATTTCACAGATGGAGAAACTGAGGCTTGTTTTTGACCTTGCCCAAAGTCCCTGCTCTCCTCTGCACCGAGAGTGCAACCCGCAGAGCCCCGGTGGGGTCTGGGGCAGTGACAAGACTCAACTCTTGGGGTTCATCCCACCTCCGAAGCCCAGGGCCAGCCCAGACTGCAGAGCCCTAGAGGGTGGGCACCCTGGGCCCCCCCAGCCTCCTCTACAACTACCTGCCTGATCAGTAAAGCTCTGACCTTTACAGGCCCAGCCTCGGGGCTAGACAAGCATTGGGGTCTGGAGAATTTCCACCCTTGCAGGGGCAGCTGAGGATGACAGTCCCAGCTGGGCGTGCTCTCTCCGTGACACCAGGCAGTTCCCTTCTGTGCAGGCCTAGTTTCCTCATAAATCAAGGGAGCAAGGAATCCCACTGGATTGAGCGGGGAGCAAAGACTCCTCCCACGGAGGGTCTTGTGGGAGGGCAGGTGTTTCCGAATGGCCACAGCAGACGGATGCCACAAAGCCTAAGAGTCACCACTGACCCTGAAGCTCAGGCATCTCTCTAGGAGACAAGCACTTACTCAGAGCCTCAGAACACCCAGTCTGCACACAGGCCTAACACACGGGGACCTACGGCGGGAAGATGACCGTCTAGAGGGGAGTGCCCTCACTGTCACCATGCATCTATTGGATGTCCACTGGACATGGCACTGGGTCCTCACTCCCACAAGCCTTGAGAACCCTCCCCAGGGGCTCTGGCTGCTGCAGAAGGCCCAGCCCCAAAGGAAGAAACCCACGGTGGATAGGGTAGAAGGAGAGGGCGTCTGGAGGCCCTGCGGGTGGGGAGCAGGCAGTGAGGAAGCTGCAGGGAGGAGGGGAGAGCGGGATGCGGGCAGGCGGCCCCATCAGACCCCACAGCAGCAGCGTGACCAAGGCCCTCACGGGAGGCATCTTGGCCTTGGCCAGAGGCCCCAGCCCAGCCAGGGTCACATGACCCCTGTTCCACAGCTGCTGGGGCCAGCTCCAGGCTCCCTCCCACTCTTGGCTTCCTAAAAAAGAACAGGAAGTGGAGAGTGCTGTTTGAAAGTACACAAAACCCAGGGGAGAAACCACATCTGCTCTCCTCACCTGGGGGTGCTTCGGGGAACACGGGCTCAGAGCAGAGACCCCAACCTGGACCCTCACAAGCACAGCAGGGCAAGGCCAAGGAGAACCCCCAACCCCGGAAAGACTCAGGGAGACACAGCAGGCCCAGCCGCCCCCCACCCCCACCCCGAGATACGCGGCAGCAGCCCCCCACCCCTGGCGGCTGCCTTCCCATCAGTGGCCTCTGGTCCCCGTAGCCCCAGCCCTGTTTGCATCTTTGCAGCTATGGGTTCCGGTGGGCACAGAGCCTCTGCCTGTTCTCCAGAGCATGGGGGGCTTACTCCCCTTCCACCCCTGGGAGCTCTGAGGAGACCAAGCAGCCTGTCCCTACTTGTCCCTGAGCTGCCATCCTCAGCCACTGTCATCCTGGAAGGAGCCCTGAGGGAGGGGACAGAAAGCCCTGAGAAGAGCCCAGAGGACCAGGGTGGGAGGGAGTAGGGCAAGGACAGGACAGACAGACAAAGGAAGAAAGTAATGAATGAGAAGGTGAATGAATGAAACAGAAAGCACACAGGAGGGGTGGAGCCAGGACGAAAGGCAGAGAAGACCACCTGCCCGGTGGCGGTGGCGCCTGGGCCGGGACTTGGCCACACTGCCCAGCTCTGGGACTGTCCCCTTCGGTTTACAAAGCACTTCTGACCCTGACAATGGCCCACGAGACAGATATTCTGGGAAGCAGACCCAGCCTGCAGGGAAGGGGGACGGCTGCCCAGACCACGGCAGGAGGCAGGCCCAGCAGGGGCACCCAGCCATGTCCTGCCCCAGGGGCAGTGGAAGCCTCCCATGGGCTGGGCTTCCTGGAAGGTCAGGAACGCCAGCTGGAGCTGCTCTCCTCTGCCCCCTCACTCACCCGCCAAACATCAAAGTCACTCATGGGCCCACCGCTGGCCTGACTGAGGCCCTGACACCAGGAGAGGAGGCCGTGGGGGCTGGGGGCCAGGGTGGGAGGCTGGCCCTGGGCAGCACTGAGTGCACCCCGGGAGGCCAGTACTCACATACAGAGCCCCTGAGCCCCTGAGCCCCTGAGCCCCCTTGCCCATGCCCCTGGGAGAAGACCCCAGCCCCGGAGAACTGTCCTGGCCTCTCTGAAGGGGCCAGTGCTGGTCATCGGGGTCAGCCTGAGCCAGACCAGTGACACTGTGACGGTGCCATCTCTGGGCCGCCTGAGTCCTGGAGCTGGAATAGACTCACACACCACCTCCCCTCTGCCCACACTGTCATTACCCCAAACCCCCGTCTGTGACATGCACACACCCACTGCCTACTCTGTGTGAGTGCCCTGGGGCTGCTTTCTTGCTGGAGTCCAAACCCACTTGGCCCCCACATGACAGCTTGCACACATGCGTGCCTTCTCCACGCTCCCGCCACTGGTCACACAGTCTCTGGGAGGGGCCAGCCGCCGAGGACCACCCAGCTCCCACCCACCTCTCACTCACCGTCCAATGTCCGAGCAGACCTTGGAGTCAGCGGCGACCGCAGCGTGGTCAAAGGCCTGGGGGCCGCAGTGGGCGAGGTGGCGAGAGAGGACCACAGCGGGCACGATGATGGCCAGGGCCAGCCCCAGCCCCAGCAAGACCATGCCTACCGTAGCCCTGCGACCCTGGGCCATGGCTCTGCGCCCTGGGGGGAGAGGGGAGGCAGATGGGCAGATGGGCTAGTGGGCAGACAGATGCACAGACAGCTGCGTGGATGAATGAACAAGAAGATGTGCAGATAGACTCAGAGATGATTGGACAGATGGATAAATGGATGGGGGCCAGAGACAGACAGACAAACAGATTGACAGACGAGCCAGACAGCTGGAGAGGGGATAGTAAGAGATGGACGGTCAGGGAGACAGTTGGAGAGAAGGGGATGACAGATGGATGGGCAGACAGGCAGGTTTACAGAGGACCAGCGGGCAGCCAGGCGGACGGTGGGCGTGGGGACGGCGGGCACGGCGGCGGCACTCCTGGAGTGCTGCTACAGAGGCAAGGCTGGTCACGCGCCCCAGCTTCCAGCCTTCAGCCCTTGTTCTCGGCCCTGCCGGGAGGCCAGGCAGCACGGCGTTTAGGGGAGTTTTCCTTCCAGACAGGAGAGAGGAACAAGCAGCCGCCTGCCTTTAACTCCCTCACTACTGTTCCCACGGCAAGCCAAGATGGTGCAAACGCCCCTCCTGCCTGCTGGCCCGCCCACCCGGCCACAGGCGCCCTGGGCTACCCCGTCCCCACGAGCCTGAGGACTTGGCGTCTGCTGCCCCAGAGGAGCGGGAGTGCAGGGCTCCATGGCCCCCAGGGCCACTCCCCGGTTCCCGGCAAAGCTGAGGTAGCCTGGCCCCTCCCCTGGAGCTCAGAAGGACAATGGTCCCAGGACGGGGCCCCTAGTCCCCACTTGGCGTGCCCCTGCCTAGCAGCAGCTCATCCCAGCATCCTCAGAGCCAGAGGATACCGGGGGGGTGTGGGGCTAAACGGGCCAGAGACAGAGGGAGGGGGGACCCAAGTTGCTGTCACTCAGAACCTGGGTTCAAGTCCCAGCTCAGCCGCAGCCTGGCCTGGGGGCAGGGGAGGTGACATGGGGGCTTCCCGGTCTGCTCAAGGAGCAGGCTGACTCAAGAGCACCTGACGTGGGCACTGTAAGACTCTTTGTGTGGGGAGTGCGGACAGGGCATGCGTCCAGCCCTTGGCAGCCAGTGCCCCCCGGATCGGCCACCTCCAGGGCCTGCTGTCCTGAAATGCCATTGTGGGCCTCCAGGGAGTGAGGCTGCCCTTCTGTCTGCATCTCTGCCCCTCCCTTGCTGTGTTTCTGCTTTCCGGCATCCATCTGTGCTACTCCTGTTATGGCAGTGCCTCCTCTCCTGGGGACACTGGCCTGGGCCCTGCCCTGCTCAGGCCTCAGGGTGCCCAGCTGGGAGGCAGCTGGGGGAATGGGGGCCCACTGCAGGCTGACATCCTACCTACACAGTCCCCCACTGCCCCCCAAGCTCTCCCCATGCCCTTTCCAGTTAAGCATTACCCTCCCCAGGTCTCTTTACACCTCCTGGTACAGCAGAGAAACTGAGGCACAGAGGATTGTGCCTGCACAGCCACACAGCCTGCCAGGCCCCCAGTCCAGAGCCCCCGGTCAGCCTGCACTGGAGAGGCTGCTGGGGGGGCTCTGCCGTAGGCCAGTTCCCACAACTGCCCATTGAGGCGGGAGGCTGCAGACACCTCCTCCCGCCCCCACCCATCCCCCACCCCTGCAGTGACATTGTGCAACCAGAAACCAAAGCGCATTCCTGGGCCAGGGCCAGCCCACCCGCATGGAGACAGGGACAGCGGGGTCGGCAGGCTCAGGGGTGGGACGTCCCCCCTCCTCTCCCCAGCCATTGTGGTCAGGCAGAGGTCAGGATACAGGGACCACTGGAACAAAGGCCCAGGAAAGGAACAGACATCATGACTGCCTGGCCAGAGATGTGGCCAGGGAGGACCAGCCAGGAAGGGCTTGAATGTCCTTGTCCAGGGGGTGAGGGTCATGAGCCGATGGGGAGGAAGGAGAGGAGAAATCGGTTTCCCCAGCCCGGCGGGTGCTCTTGGCTGAACCCTACGGGGCCTGCGTAACCAGGTACACGCGGCCCGGGCCCAGGGAGCCTCAGGGTCGGCCCCCACCTCCACGGCAAACGGGCCGCCCCCTCAGGCCTCAGTCTTCTCCTCTGCAAATGGGCCATGGCCTTTCCTATGGGACCGAAGTGAGGGCTAAGGAGGGACTTGCACACCCCACCAGCCCAGCCTCCATCCTGTTGCCTGCGGACCCCAGAGATGCCACCCTCCAGGCCTCAGGGCTCAGACCTGGGGGTCTCTGCAGGCCAAAACCCGTCTCTCTGTGGGCGCTTTGGAAGCCCCAGGTTTTCCCACCTCATGAAAGAGAGCCGAGACCTGGCCTCTCCTGGCCCCTGCGCCCCCTACCCTCAGGGGCCCCACTTGTGCTCACCAGTCAGGGGGAGACCTGGCTGTGGGGCTGGGATCCCCTCCTCAGCACCCCCCACCACCACCACCACCAGCTTTTCCCAGTGCCTCCCTTCCTGTGCTACAGTTGTGTGTAAAGGATGAGCTAGCAGACCCTGAGCGGGCAGGGGCTGGCCCTCAGTGGAAGGGGCAGGATGCTGTGTCAGGCAGGCCCGTAGAGATCCACCCTCTCTGGGCTAAGCTCTCTGGCCGCCCGCCAGCCCCAGGCCTGACCCTCGGGATCTGGGAACCTCTTCCAGTTCTCTTTTCCCTGAGAACTGGGCTTCCTGGAGCTGATCACAGCTTGGGTGTCATGCTGGGTTTGTGTTGGAAAGCCCCCAGGGCCTGGCTCTCACTAACGTATTCCACTCCAGCTTCTTGCCCAATCCCACTCCTCAGACTCAGCTTCACCTCCCGTGTCCTGGGTCGGGTGAGCCTGGATATCCCAAGAAGGTACCGGGGTTCCCAGCATCTGCTGGTCGCCATCTGCCCAAGTACACACCAGGGTCATGGCACCCCCTGGTGGCCAATACTGGGAAGTGCGGCTGGCCAGCCCAGGAAGGGATGGCCTGGCCCCTGGTCCTGGGGTTCAGAGGGAAAGAACAGTGCTCGGCAGGGACCTGCCCTGCGTGTCCCCCTCCTGCCCCACCCACCAGGCTCTGGTGAAAATGCTGAGGTTAACTCCAGCGCCCGAGGTGTAAAAACCTCTGAATCCCGTCTTTGCATCCTTTGCTGCCAGACGACTCCATTTCACACACAGGATGCTAAGGTACAGGGACTGGGAGCTGACTGGCCAAACTGCCCAGAGCCTGGCGCTGCGACCCTTATTTATTGCACTGCTTTGCCACTTACAGGGGAAGCACGTCCCCCAAAGTCCCACTCCTGGCCCCAGTGGGCATCTCTTCCCTGGGTTGCCAGTCAGCCTTCCCCATCCTGGGTACTCAGTAGCCGGCAGGCTCCCCTCCTTTCCTGGAGTCTGAGGCAGCCGCCCAGCCACCAGCCGTGCGGACAATGGCCTGCACCACAGCGATGAAGGTGGGAGTCACTGTCGTTTGGTGGTGCCGGCTCTTCAGGGCTGCAACCACCGCCTGGGGGTGGGATGGGAGAGAGAGGCCTCAGTGGGGCCCAAGACACCATCTGAACCACACCTGTGTCGCCTAGTGGCCAGAAAGAGCAAGCTGGGGGCAGCTGGGTCTATTGGGTCTCATTGGAGCAGATGGCCTGGCACTCACTGCATGGGGGCTCAAGATGGCCCAGGCAGCAGGCGTGAGGGTCATCTGCCCCAGGCAGAAGACACCAGCCATGGGCCACTCTGTGATGACTCAGGAGATCCAGGCCCTCATCCCAAGACACCTTGTAGCTCCCCACTGTGGCTCGGTTTCCCCGCCCCCGCCCCACCTGGTCAATGTCTCTCTCCAGCGTCGTGGTGTTGGGCAGGAGCTGGTTGTGTAGCCGGGGCTCCTCCACCGCCCGCTTCACATCGTAGCCGAACCACAGGCTGTGGATAATGGCCTAGGGGTGGTGGTGGGGATGGGGTCAGCGTGGCCTGGGGGCAGGGGCTGGGGGCACAGGGGGTGGCACATACCAGCGCGGTGGCCGTGGTGATCTGCGTGCCCCCGGAAGCACCCACCACCATGCGGACCTGGCCGTCCCGGCCCACGATGATCGCCGGGCACATGGAAGAGAGCGGCTGCTTCCCTGTGGCCGGCAGGTGCGCAAAAGGGGACAGAGAGATGGTCAGCTGCCTTTCCGGGACACCAGCCTCCTCCCTGCTCGAGCCCGCCACCCCACACCTGGCTTGATGAAGTTGGCCGGTGAGGGGGGCACCCCAAACTCGTTGGTGATGTTGGGGCTGCTGAAGTCATCCATCTCATCGTTGAACAGGATCCCGCTGACCAGCGATCGCACCTTGGAACCGAAGCTACAAGCGGGCTGGGTCAGGCAGCTGTGCCCGCCCAGCGCCCTCCCACCCAACAACACTCCAGCTTGCTCCCCACGAGGCCTGGGGCAAGCGCTCTACCAAGGTGGGCCCTCAGTTTCCCTCTACGAAAGGGGTTGAGGGAGCCCCCTTCTGGGACACACGGTCAGTCCCTGGCCCACCCAGGCCACCTGGCAGCCCCTACTAGAGGTTGATGGTGCTGGTGGCTGACACGGCGCTGCCGTCCTCCGCAACCACGGACAGGTGGGCGGTACCCCCGCCATCTGGAGTGTAGAACTCAGGCTCATAGTAGGAGGTCGGGTGAGTGGTGTCGTCGGAGATCCGGGCCCGAAGCTGGGCAGCGAAGAACTCAGAGGTCATGTTGTGGATCACCTGCCGAGACCCCAGAGCTGGCCTGAGGAAGTTGGGGGGGGCAGGGAGGGGGCACAGGCTTGTGCGAGCAGCTCTCAGAAAGCCCCCGACCACAGCTCTGACCACAACCTGCCTGCACCCTCAGCCTCACAAGGCCCGTCTGACCCGCTCTCTCCACCACTGTCTCTGCTGTAACTCTGAATGTCTGCTTCTCCGTCCCCCAAGCCCCACTCTCGCTGCGTGCAGTCATTCATTCATTCAGTGAGCTTGTACTGTGTGCCCAGCCCTGGGGGATCTGCAGGGAACGGACACAGGTCCCTGCCTCATGGCAGGGAAGACAAAGGCAGGCAGGGACAGGCTGGAGAGAACATTCCAGCTAAAGAGGATGGAGAGGAACAGGGTAGGGGATGAAGTGGTTGGGGAGGGCTTCTCGAAGAAGTGACATCTGAAGTGAGCCCTGAATGAGGCCTGGATGGCTAGTGCAAAGGCCCTGAGGTAGGCCTGCGAGTGACAGGCAGACAATGAATGGGGTTAGGAAGAGAGGAGGTTGAAGATCCCAGAGGCGCAGGTCCCATAGGTCCTCACACACCCCGTAAGCACTTTGGCTTGGCTCTGAGCCACACGGCCTTGGGGCAGAGGTGTGAGCACACCAGTGGGTGTATTCACAGGATCCCTCTGGTGGCCAGTTGGGGCCTTGGGTGGAGCTCAACTGGGAGGCTATGACATCATCCAGGTGAGACAGGATGGTGGCTCACCCAGGGAGGAGAGAAAGAGGAGACAATGGCCCCCAGGTCTTCAGTCCAGAGTGGTTGTTAGCTGGGGAGGTGAACACTGCAGAAGGGGCAGTGCTGGGGACAGTCGGGAACTCAATTTTGGATGGTGCCCCTTGGACACTGAAGAGCCAGCTCAGGTGGGTGGGGGACCCATGCATGTGGGGTTCACGGGCAAGGTCGGGCCGAGGGCTAGATGTGGGGACATTGGCCTCAGGCGCCTGCTTAAAGCCCTGAGCCTGGTCAGAGCCCCAGGGCAGCCAGGCAGACAAAGGAGAGGACAGACGGAGAGAGGAGAGGAGGTGAGGGAGGGGCCGGCAAGTGGGTCCTGGGAGCCGAGCAAAGGAAAGGCCTCCAGAAGTTTCCAGCAATACCCCACGGATTCACTGGCTAATCCAAAGCGAAAATGTTCCGCCTGAATCTCCCAGAGAAACAGAAAGTGAAGCCCAGGATGCAGGAGATTCTGGTGTCAACCGCCCTGGGCTCGAGAGCCAAAGAAGCAGCTGGGGCTCCTGGAGGCAAGGGGCCTGGAGATTCCTAACAGCGCCTGTGAGGCGTGAGCTTCATGGGCCCTGGGCCGAAAAACCCCCAGGACCCCCAGGGTTCCTGACACAGGCATCTAACGGGTCTCACGCCCTCGATGTCAGCGTGTAGGAGTCCCCCTCTGAGGAGACACGGCCTGGAGTCCGGTGTCTGTGACTCACTGCCCACCAGCCCGCAGGAGAGCACGAAGGACAGAGGGATGGAGAGAGGTGGGAGAGGGAGCAAGCGCGGCGCAGCGCCCGTGACGTTCAAAGTAAGAAGCTGAGGCGAGAAGGAGGTCAGGGACTGTGTGACTGCTGAGAGGGCCCAGAGGGAAACTGAGGCTGGGGGGGTGGCCTCGCAGCATTGGCGTGGAGCAAGGCAGGGTGGCTGTGGGAGGGGCTCCAGATGCAGAGTTTGCTGTGAGGGAGCAGAGGACCGGGCAGGCAGGAGGGTTCCGGAGCAACAGCAGCACGTGTTTCTCCAGAATGTTCCACCAGAAAGGGCAGCACGGGAACCCAAGAGGCAGAGCTGCGTTGCAGGACGGGTGTGCTGGGTCAGCGAGGGGGTGAGCAGCAGGGCCGGCCTTAGCCGGGGGGAGGACAGAGGAGGCATGGTACAGTGGCTTCTGTCACCTCAGGGATCCAAGACACCAGGTCACTGGCTGCAGTGAGGAGTAGTGGGGACAGAATGGTCATCGGGAAGGAGAGGAGACCGGGAGGGCATAGGGCTGCTGGATAGCTGGGTCCCTCCTGGGAGGCACAGGTCAGTGTGGGCCTCTGCAGGTCTACCTCAGCATGGGGGGCTCCATGTAGGTAAGGAGGGATGTGATGGGCATGGCAGCGGAGGCCCAGCCTGGAGCTGGGGCACCTGGTGGTGAGTGGGTTGGAAGGTACAGGACCTGGGTAGGGATCTGGGAAGCTCCTGGGTGTGACCAGGAGGCAGGTGGCCAAGGCATCTGCCCACCTGGAACGCTGGTCCTCTCCCCTCACCCATCCCTCTCATCACCCCTGAGGGCTGCAAATCCCTGTGCGTTTCTCACCTCAGCACTGACCACTCCAGAACCCTCCAGGCCAAATGTACAGCATGTGCAAAGGCCCTGAGGTGGGAGTGTGGCCAGACAGGGGTGGGGGCACTAATAACTCATTGCCAAGTCTGTCACACTGTAAGCAAAGTGGGGCAGAGGCCAGGACTTGGAGTCACCAGTCCATCCCCGCATATAGTAGGACCACCACTGAAGTTGGTAGTAGGAATGAATTAATAAAGCATGCATGAGACTGGGGTGGCCCTAAGGAGTCCTCCTGGCACCTCCACAGCAGGCCCCCTGCCCATCTTAGGCCAGCCCCTGTCCCTCACCTGGGTCACATTGACAAACTTGGGGTCCCCGAGCAGGGTCCTCTTGGCGTAGGCGAACCGGAAGGCCTCCACGATGCGGTGATAGGTCAGGCCCTTCCTCTCAGGGGTCTCCACGCTCTCCCGGGAGAAGTTGTACCCTGGTTGGGCAGAGCCAGATGCACCTTGGCAGCCCCAGGGCCCTTAGGACAGCCCAGCTCAGCCAAGACAACTGGGTGCCCCCGGGATGGGCTCACACCTCCCTGGACCCTGACCCACCTTGAGAAGGGTGACACTTAATAACCAACAGCAGTGGCGGCTTAGGAGGCAGGTAAGGGTGGAATGAGGCAAGGGCCTGGGCCTCACATGTCCAACCAGAAGGCTACTCAGTCCACGCGGTCACAGATGATGGCTTAGACTGACCAGAAGCACCCTTTGGACCAGCCCCCCCAGCCGTGAACTTCTGGCATTGGGTGCCTGGGGCAAACCAGCTCCTCACCCCTGCAGCTTTGCACGGGCTGTTCCCACCCCTTGGACTCTGCTCACACCTCTCCCTGCCAACCACTCCTCCTCCTCCAGCCCTGAGCCTGCCCCTCCAGGGTCGCTCTGCACTGCCCCCCACAGGGCCGCGGTGGGACCGCGCACCTTTGAGGATGTTGAGGATGAGGGCCAGCACCGGTCCACTGAGCGGGGCGCTGGGCATGTAGAGCTGGGCGTCCCCAAGGCTGATGCTCAGCGGCTGCTCGATCAGCTCCGCACGGTAGTTGTTCAGGTCCTCGGCTGTCACGATGCCCCCTGCAACGGGACAGCAAATGGTGCAGGGGTGGGAGGCAGACACAAGGATGGGGCTGCACTATTAGGGGCTGGGGATCTGGGAGCCCTGCCGGCCCTGCTCTCAGCCCCTCTGTCCTGCCGACAGTGCCACCTACCCACGGCCAGGTCCAGGCCATCTGCTGTCGACCTGCTTGCCCCCCTGGCCTCCCAGCATGCCACTGCTCTTGGCGGCCGGAGGGTCTTCTCCAAGTGGAAAACACCTGCTTCCGTCTCCCCCTGCTCAGTGCCCTCTTTCCGTGACTAATGGGTGAGTGGAAGTGGGCTCTTAATTCTCCAGGGAAATGCTCCAGACAGACAGCGTATTTACAGGCTAATTTCCAGTGTCAAGATCCTAATCACCCTCCTCTGTGATACGCAGACAAAAATACCATGAAGAAGGCCACAGCTTGGGGAGGGAGGGGCAGCATCAGGCTCCCCGGCCCCAGTCCATCAGAATCTGTCCCACAAGGGCCCGACCGCAGGCCCCTGCCTGCAGCCCCTGCCATGCCTCCTCACCAAGTCCCGCCTCATTCCCGTGACCCTCACCGAGAATTAAAACCCTCTCTCCAGGCCTTAGCTTGTTCCCTCCGCCAGGAACGCCCTTTCTCTCTCTGCCTACAAAGTCCAACCTCATCTGCAGCTTAGGGCCACCTCCTCCAGGAAGTCCTCCCCTCCCAGGTCTGCACTTCATTGCTTCCACTGCCCCAGTTCCTGCCTCTGCCTCCATTCACCCCCTGGGGGCTCTGACCTAACCAGGAGCTGTGGATCCACACAGCCTGTCACTGACTGCAACACATCTGTGACCCTCCTCTGCCAGGCGCTCCCTGAGGGCCCGGTGCCCAGCCCAGGCAGGACTGGAGGACCTTGCCCGAGGCCCCCAGGGTCATCTGCTCACCAGTCGCCTGGATGTCCTTGACGATCTGGGCTGTGAGGCTCCCGTTGTAGAAGGCCTTGGCGCCCTCCGAGGCCAGCGTCTGGTACGTGTCGGCCAGCCGCGACATGGTCACTTTGTCCCCTTCCTGCAGCACTTTTCCATTGCGGCAGAATACCTCGCTGGGGCAGAGCAGGCTCCCGTGAGGCAGGCAGGTGGGGCGGGCTGGGCCAGACCACCCCCACCCCCGACACAAGGAGATGAGAACAAAGGGCGCTCGGCACCTGTCCACAGGTGGGTGGCCCTGTCACTCAGGGCTCGTCCTCCCCGTGTCCAGCCCATGCCTCCTAGAGTCCCCTGCCACTCAGGACACACAGGCTCAGAATGTGTCTGCACACAGGTGGGAAGGGGTTTGTGCCTTCTCGACCCCATCTCCACCAGCACAGGTTCCTGAAGCACTGAGCCAGCCACTCACGGCGGCAGGGACATTGGCCCCTCTGCCCAGCCTGTGCCCCAGGGCAGGCCAACGCCCACAGACTCACCACAGCGCGGGCTGTCCCTCAATCGCAGCCTGACTTTTCGCCAGGGCTGCCGCCAAGCCCTTCCCCACAGGGAAGCCCTCGCGGGCCAGCTGGATGCTGGGCTGGAAGAGGCGGGCCCAGGGCAGCCGCCCGTGCCGCTGGTGCGCCAGCTCATAGCCTCGGATCTCACCGGGAACCGCCACCGACAGCCCCCCTGCAGAGGGAGAGGGACGCGGTGAGTGGCTCCAGGCAGGGGACATCAGGAGAGATGCTGTCCCGGGCAGCACCCCAGGCACAGTCCCCAGATGGTACTAGTGAGGCTCAGGAAAGAAACGGAGTTTTGAGGCCATATGTGGACTCAGCAGGCAGCAGTGCAGCTTGGCTGGGGATGCTGACAAGGGCGCAGGAGGGAGAGGAGGCAGCGCACATGCTGGGTTCTGCTGTTCCCAGACTCAGACGTCTGTCTCTGCAGGGGCCGCCATGTCTGAAATCCTGTGCTAGGCTCTCAGTTGCACGACAAGACTATGAGGAAGCTGGACCCCTACCGTCTCAGTCTGAGCCTCCCGGGCCAAGGCTCTCATCCCCTGAGATGCCAGGGTTCCACCAGAACCTGCCAACGTCCCCAGTGCAAGCCAGGCCACTCTCAACGCTGGGCCGGGCCCTTCCTCTCTTCTACTGTCCCGGAACCCAGACTGAGCCCAAATCCCTGCCCCACAGCACTCTCTGGGCCTCAGTTTCCCCATCTGACCATAAGGAGTTTTGCCTTCCAGCTCTGACCTTCGAGGAGCCCATGACTCCACTGCAAACAGACCCCTGGGTCCCGGTTCCCCGCGGTCCCCTCCCAGGCACCCTCCTGTTTTCTCCTCTGAGACGACCGGGGCCTTTTTGGCCACCCTCGGGCTGCCTCTTCCACCCTAAAGTTGGGCACGCGGTCCTGAGAGCCAGTTGTTACGATTCCCGCACGTCTCAGGAGGGCTCACGCCCAGCACACAAGTCCCCCCACCCTGAGTAAACGCCACACTCACCGCGGGCCAACCCGGCTCTCACGCCACTCTGCTCGCCAGCGTCACCAGTGACCCCCACGCTGCCAGGCCAGGGTCCCTTCTCCACTTCGCCTCCCCTGCCCCATTGCTGTCTCCTCCCAGGCCACCTCTGCGTCACGCCTGCCTGGCTCTCCTTACGTCCTCTCTGCTGTGTCCACACTCACTCTCTTGGTGACCTCCTCCAGATCAGCACGTCCATTTATGTGCTGGAGACCCCCAAATTACTCTCTGGCCTGGCCTGCTCCCCTGTTGGCCAGATCTGAGGATGTACCTGCCTGCTCAAAAACGGCACCCCAAACTTAACACACCCAGGGCCCAACTCCCGACTGTCACCCAAACCCCCTCCCCCGCAGCCTTGCTGGTCTCTGTTAGGGCCACCCTGTCCTTCTAGGTGCAGACCTAAAACCCGGGGGGCATCTGGGACCCCCAGCACTCATGTCACACCCAATCCGTCAGCAAATCTGAGGCTTTGCCTTCTGAATGTGTTCAGCACAGCCACCAACCGCCAACCTCCTGACAGATGGCCTGATGGCAGGCAGCTTGCTCTCCTGCCCTCTGAAGCAGCCCGAGGGTCCGATCAGACACAGGCCGGGCCCGTCCCTCCCACTCACACACTCCAGGGGCCCCCTCCTCCTTTAGACAAGAGGCAGGGTCTTCACGATGACCCACAAGCTCCAACACGGCCTGGGCCGTTCCCTCTGACCCTGTGTCACTCATTGCCATCTCACTGGCTCCCACAGGGCTCTGTCCCTGCCCTTCCTGCCTGGGTCACTCGCTCTTCCCCCAGACAGGCTCCCCCCACCCAACCCCTGCCTGTGGGTCTCTGCTCAGATGCCCCTCTGGCCCAGGCCACCCTCGAGAAACCCGGGTGCCCTTCCCGCCTCCGCGTTCCCGGCAGCAGGCGGCGCGCTCGTGCTGGCTCAGCCGCTCTCCTCCCCACCTGGAATGCCCCGGCCTGACTAGACCCGATTTCATCTGTTGCCTTCATTTTGTACCCTAGCTTGGGGAACAGCCGTGACACTGTAGACGGTGCCTAACGAGTCCTGCTTAAATAAATGAATTCCAAGCATCCACAAGATTCCGGCAATCTCACACTCCAAATGATTTCATTTCCACACATTCTGAGTTTCCCAACAAGTGCAAAAATTCAAAGCCTCTGTATGTTGGAGAGGACTCCAGAGGGGCTGCTCACAGGGCCGCGCCCAGAGCCCCAGCTTGAGGGGCAGAGCCCGCAGCAGGGGATCAGACACGCTATGGCCTCTGGGCCCCGCCCCTCCTCCCCTCCAGCCTCCCATCCTGTGATCCATTTGGGGGTCCATGGAGCGGCACCTCCTGGTGGCCACGGGCTCCCTTCAGCCTCCTCTCTGCCTATGGCAGGGTTAGAACAGAGAGAATGTGCCATAATCCAAGGAGCTATCCCACAGGTGAACGAATGAATGAATGATTCGGACGTCTGTTTAGACAGCCTGGGTTCCATCCCAGCTTCACCACCATGCAGCTGTGTGACCTCAGCTGGTCTGTATGACCTCTCTGGGCCTTAACATCCCCACCTGTAAAATGGGAATTAATACAGTGCTCTGCCACCACTCATACAGAGAGGATTCAAGGGGCTCGTTGGTGAAAAGGGCTGAGCAGAGGGCTGGCTCCAGTGACCCGGGGATGTGCAAGTTGTTGTAATAATTCTCTTCATGTACCAGCACAGGGGGGCCCTGGAGGGGCCTGAGCGGAAATAACAGAAGCTCCATCCCTTTATTCTCCATGAGGATGGTCTTGACCACTCATTGTGGGAGGGGCTTACGGGGCCAGGAAGGGACGGGAGGGCTGGGCATCAGCGACTGCAGAGCTGTGCCTGACCCCGGACAGGGGCATGCTCATGCCTTCCTCGGACCCACCCCAGCTCTGAGTCCACACCCTGAGCTTCTGCCTCACCTTGCTGTGACTGCTCCGAGCTGTTGAACATGCTGGCAAAGGCCCGCCCAGGGGCCACCTCTCGGGCATTGATGATCTCAGCTTTTCCTGGAAGGAGAAGCAGTGGGCAGGCCCGACCAACACCAGCCCCTCCCGCTGCCTGAGCCCGGGGCCCACCCAGCTGTGCCCCAGCCCAAGTGCCCGCCGGGCGCCCCCAGCCACTCCCCTCGCACTCCCGCTGCCGGCTGGCACTCACGCGTGCTGCTGTTGTAGATGGTGAGGAACAGGCCGCCCCCGATGCCCATGCTGTGGGCGTTCATGAGCCCCACGCACAGCAGGGCCGCAATGGCAGCGTCCACCGCCGAGCCGCCCTCTTGCAGCACATCCCTGCCCGTGGCATGTGGGGGCGGTGACAATCTGTGGGCTCCCCACCACCCACGCGCACCCTACCCAAAGGAGGACGCAAGAGGAGTCCGTAGGGGTTTTGTTTTATAAATGTAACTCTAAAACCGATGGGCTTATATTTTCCTCATTTTCAAGCAAACAGACATACATGACTTTTATAATTGAAAAAAAATTGTTACTTTTTATTAATAATATTTTTTTCTGTTTAAGTCTTTAAGTGGGAACTGATGTTTGTATATAACATGAGCCAGGAGTCTAAAATAGCATCAAACGGCAGAGTTTATCCAAAGAGACAGGCACCCTTAGAACCAAGGGAAGGGGTCCCCCTGGGGCTGGGAGACCCGCGCCTGCTCTCGGGGTCAGTGTCCCCTTCTCCACTGACCAGAGGCTGCTGAGAAGGTCCGAGGAAAGGTCAAGACTTGTCCAGGCAGCCCGCTTATAGGTGAGAGAACTGTCTCGGAGAGGGGAGAGTATGGCCCTGGTCTGCTTATGGTTGCTGTCCTCCAGGGTCTGTGTCTGCACTCACCTCCCGATCTCCGAGCAGTGCTTGGCGTCCGCCGCCACGGCTGCCCTGGCGTACACGTGGGTGGGTGGCCTGGAGGAGGAGGGCAGCCAGAGGCAGAGGCCGACGATGAGGAGCACCAGGGCCGCAGACAGCAGGGCCAGTACCAGGTACCGCTTCTTCATGGCTCTGTGGGCACGAGGCAGGAGCAGGGTCAGGGGACTGCCACTTGCCTGGCCTTGCACACATCCTGACCCCCACCCCTACAGGGCACAGCCTCAGAAATCTGTCCCTGTCTCCCTCCAGCCGCCCAGAACACATGCGGGCTGGCCAACCTCCTGACCTTCGCTCAGGCCATTCCCTTCGCCAGAAGTCCCTCGCCCCATCTCTGCCTCCCCCAGTCCTCCCTGCTTATCCTCGGGGCCCCATCCCTGTAAGGATCCCATCTCCAGCAGGGACCCCTCCCGGGAGCCCCCAGATTTCAGGTGTCCCTGCTTCTGCAGGGAGGTGTCTGTCTCCTCACAGTGGCCGAGCCCTCCACGGCCCAGCAAGGAGTCCAGGAGGGACAAGCTGGGCTTGGGTCTTTCTGTGGCCCCCACCTCAGCCCAGAGCCCGGCACTGTCCATGCGTCCCCCAGAGCGGCCTGCCGCAGAGCATGGGGTTCAGCCTCCACAGTGCCCTCAAAAGGGGCACCCACAGTCTCCTGATGTCCTCAGCGCAGCCGCCGCAGGGCAGGGGCCTACCTTCCTCAGCAGACAGGAGGGGCACCTTGCCTGGGGAGGTGGTCACACGAGCTGCGAGGGTTTGCCTGAAACGGCTGGCGAAACAACTGGGTCTCCCTCACGCTCTGCAGGAGCCCGTGGCCACAGAACCCGCTCCAGAGAGACACCCCGGCCACGCAGCCTCCTCGTCCTCCTGAAAATCCAGACAGTGTCCCTGAGGCAGCCTGCGCCCGGCCCTCCCCAGGGAGCTCTGCAAGGCTTCCCTGCCTCCAGGGGAACTCTGAAGCCAAGAGGGGGCTGTTCGCTCCCAGGTTGGCGTGAATTCTCCCAGCCTTGCTCCCAGGCACAGCTGGGAGACAGTGTGCACAGAGCAGGGAAGGGACGGCGGGGGACTCCTGCGCTAGGCCGGCGTTCGCTGGTGAGCACGTCGTGTGAGGACGGGGTGAAGCCCACACGCATGCCAGGAGCAGAAGAGCCAGCCTGCCCCATCTGAGCCCAGATCCACCCCTCACCTGCCTGCTGCGGGGCCTCGGACGAGTCAACCAACCACGTGTCCAGTGGGCGTGCCAGAGGCGCCCCGCTCAGGGTGGCGGGAAGATAAGCAGACTGGAAGATATGAAGCGCTAGGTAATTGCTGGCTGCATTGGGCTACGCTGGGGGAAGCCCTGGAGGCCTGCGCGGAGGAGGGAAGCCTATCAGCCTCTTGCTCACTGTTTATTTCCCTGTTGACACCCTTCCAAGACATGCAGGGAAGGACAGCAGTGACTCTTGGGGTCCCTGTGGCGGTGACAGCAGGCAAGGGGTATGAGGCCAACAAGGAAGGAGAGGTGTGGCGACAGAAGCAGGGATCCCCTCTCCCAGACTCAGTACCCTCTAAAGGATGGATGTTTGCTGGTGAGCCCCAGGCTGGGACCCTTCTGGCTTGCCATGTCCTTTTCAGAGGGTCTTAACTCCAGGGGCCAGACACAGTGCCCCAGAGGTGGTCTAGGTATGGAGTCCCATGGTGGGGGGTGGGGGCACAGACGCCAGCATGGAAGGGCTTTCTCCTCTCGGGGCTCAGCAGGTGGTCATGATGCAGGTCACTACCCCATTCCCCATGTAGGATCAAAGCCAGTCCCTACTCTCCCCCTTGACCACCTTGACTGAATCCAGGTACCACTCTTTCCGGCTGGACTCCCGCACTGCAAGGAGTTCCCCCTCCCACCAGCAAGGCATCCTCTGCTCTTCAGTCCTCCACAAAGCAGCCAGAGGGCTCTCTCCAAAGTGCCAACTAGGCCCTGCGCCCCGCCCCACTGCCCTCAGGATAGTCCGTGCCCTCCGTCCCCTGCCAGGCCTGACAGCCCTCGGGGCACACCCTGGGCCCTGGCAGGGAGGCTGGGTTCCTGCGTTAAGAGCGCCGTGGCCAAGTGATTAAGTTCACAAGCTCTGCTTCAGCAGCCCAGGCTTTCACTGGTTCGGATCCTGGGCACGGACATGGCACCTGCTGAGGTTGCCTCTCACATGCCACAGTTAGAAGGACCCACAGCTAAAATATACAACTATGTACTGGGGGGCGTTGGGGAGAAGAAGTAAAAATAGAAACAATTTAAAAAAAAAAGAGTTCCTGATGGAGACAGCTGTGCCAGGAGGTCTGAGGGACCCCAGGAGCTGGACTGGCAACGGACGGCATCTGTTCTGGACACAGAACTTTCCCATCACACGCGACAGGGGGCGGGGTGGACAGAGCAGGGGCAGGTGACCTCCTCCCCAACATAGACGCAGCCACACTCGCCAAGGAGGTACTCGAGTCCTGCCCCCTGGGCAAGGCCACACTGGCACCTTGGGGCATAGCCTCAGTTCTCTCAGGCTTGGGGCAGCCAGTGGAGCCCCTCTTCAGGGATCTCCTCTCTCCCCTCAGACTCCTGGGATGAGCCAGCCATGGCCTCCTGAGGTCTGGGTTCCAGCCTCCTCTGTCCATCGGTCCACCCGTGGGCCCAAGTGGGCTCCCCGAGGGGCAGGGGGAACCGGCGAGGCCAAGAAGAGTGGGGGGGGGGTGGGCACTGACCCCCATCTCCTCCTCCCTGGGCAAGGCAGCAGGGAGGCCTGGCCCCACACCCCCCGAGGCAGATGTCCCCAGCCCTGCGGAAGACACCCTGCTGGAGGATTGGGCTTCCGTTTCCCACCCACCCCCCACCCCCACCTCACAGTTTTTTCAAAGACTCGCTAAAACATTGTCCAAGCCCAGAGGCCTGGCTCTCACCCAAATCGGTGAGGGGAAACTGAGGCCAGAGTACGGGTCGGGCTCAGCGCTTGGCCTCAAACCCCACTCCTTGTGACCCTGGTGGGCTTACCTGAGGCCGGGAGCAGTGGAGGCCCAGGAGAGCCCCTGTTCCTCAGAAGACAGCTCTGGGCTGGGGCACTGGCCGGGAGGAGGAGGCAGAAGTGTCTGCCTGGGAAAGTCTCAGCCGCAGGGCCGGCTGGGCCTCCGTGAGGAGCTGCCCGGAGCCACGCCTCGGCCCCTGCAGAGCTCCTCAGGGGGCCTCAGCACTAGGATTGGGATCTGGGGGTGGGGACCTCCAAGGAGGAGCAGAGGCAGGAAAGGGGCAAGAGGAACTCACGTGCTCACCCGGTCCCAAGGGGCAAGAGGCCGGCGGGGCGCCCCGTCGAAGGCGTCTGAGCGGGGTAGGAGGAGGCAGTCCTCTGAGAGAGGTCCAGCCTGACAGGGAGGACGGCCAGATGCTGATGTCACTACAGCACGGAAGTGCCGTGTTCGGCCTGTCAGCAGGTGATTAAAGTTCACATAGACCTGGGAGGGCCCTGGGCGGGTGGTGGGAGGGGCCGTGACAGCAGTGACCCTTGGGGTCCCCGTGGCAGTGGCAGCAGACAAGGAGTGTGGCCCCAACAGTGAAAGAGAGCTGTGGTGACAGAGCAGGTGGGCCCCCTCTCCTGGACTCAGTTCCCTCCAAAGGGTAGTCTGCTGGCGAGCCCCTCAGGTGAGATGCAGGCTGGGGACCCCACTGGCTCGCCCTGTTCCTGCTCAGAGCATCTGAACCCCAGGGCCACCCCAGTGTCCCAGAGATGGTTCCTGAGGCAGTGGAGCAGGAGGGCTGCCGGCACCAGACCAGAACCCAGATCTGAGAGGCCTCACCTCACCCCACAGCCAGATGCCCAGGACGCCTCGCTGGAACACAGCCTGGGGCTGCACGCCCAGACTGGTTCTACCGCCGATCCAGGAATGTTAGTTCCCCAGGCCCAAGGAACCACCTGAACAGCCTGGAACGGCAGGGCCCAGAGAGGGCCAGAGCTGGTCCAAACTTACACAGCCCAGCAGTGCCATCCCAGCCACCCTGAACCTGCCCCCGAGTTGCTGCATGTCCCTGACCAGCCGGCCAAGGAGGTCCCAAGTCAGAAGCAGTTGCAGGCTCAGCCCAGGGGACCTTGAACACTGCTCTCCATTCCCCCTTAGCCTTTATCTGCCAAGGACAAGGAGTCCTTCCTGGTCATGGCTCCCTCCACTGCTCCCTGGCCAGCTGTGTCGGGGCCCCCTGGGAGCCCCCCACTCCCCGTCTGTAACACCTAACCCACAGCCACCCTGCGAGGCTGCGCCATCTGATAGATAGAAGGAGACACAGAGCCACCCAGATAGTGCTGCCCACACTGGCCTTGTCCTGTCACCCACTGCCCCTGAGCAGGCTCAGGATGAAACTCACCAAATGCACTCCTGTGAAATCCTCAATAGCCCCCATGTGGGGTGCTACGACTGAGCTCTTCCCCTGGATATTGCCCCCTAACCCCCGCAGACCCAGGTGACTGGGAAGATGAGCAGTGCAGGAGCCAGGAACCAGCAGGGGGTTTGGCCCTGCCTGAGTGGCTGCATTGCAGGGCAGTCGGCTGGGAGGGGTCTGCAGTGGAGAGCCACAGGGCTCTGTCCCCAGCCTGAGCCTGCTCTGCAGTTTTCTCCCTGCCTGGAATGGCAAGAGGCACAGTGGTATCAGCAGCAGCGTGAAGACAGGAAGCCTGTCTGAGTGGTCAGAGCACGGCCCAGACCCCACAGGTGACCCCAGCAGGAAAACCCTGGGAAGGGATAAGTTAGAGGACAGAGAGCTGCCTTTGATGGGGCACAGATGCAGCCTAGAAGCACCTGCAGGTTCCAGGGAGGGGAGACAGGAAAGAAGGTGTCTCAACAAAGGCTGTGTCAACAGAGGCATGAGTACAGAACAAAGAAGGCCCTTCCTCACATTTCAAAAGGGTCAGTTTCTGTCCCAGTCAGCCCCAAACCCCCTTCATGCAGAGAGGGGAACTGGGGGCAGTGGGTCTGCCCAGGAAAGGTCATCCCAGGAAAGGCTACAGGAGTGGGGTTGGAGGTCTTCTCCAGACCCCATGGCTCCTGTCCTAGGCACAACAGGTGGTGAGCTCCCTGTCCCCAGGAATGTGCAAGCCTCATCCACCAGAGATACTGACTCTGCCAACAGCATCACCCCCTCCTAACACACACACACAAACACTCACACACAAGCTGAATTTAGGCTAAGTGGAGCAGGCTCCCGGGACACAGCAGAGAAGGGAGCATGAGAAGAGGAAGACAGACCAGCCAGCCTGGAGTTTCTCTGTTAATCCTCCAACCCAGCTCGACAGTTGTGTCACCACAACCCCAGAGCCACAAGGGTGAAACCAGGGTACAGGCCCAAACCCATTCACAGACAGGAAATGGAGCTTAGGTAGAAGCAAACTGGCCAAGGTCAGCTGGCCCCAGGAGGCACGAGGCCCAGCAGGCAAGCCCAGGACCCATCACCCTGGCCCTGTCACTGCCAGCTCACAGTGAGGAGTCACTCCCCTGAGTATGAGAATGCAGCTCCCTGAGCCCTGCCCACACCTCTGGACAGGGAGCTTAACACTATCCAGACCCAAATTGGGATCTGTCTCCCTCGCTGCCTACCTTGGCGGCATAGGCTTGAGAATTAGAAAAAGGCCCCCTCCCCAAGACTTGATAAGTACTACCTGCCGCAAACCTGTCGAAAGAGCCAAACACGCCAGCAATGACTGGAGAGTGGCAGGTGCCCCCTAGAGTTGTGCAATGACTCCTTGTACAACCGACCCTGCTCCATGCACCACAGCCACAACCAGAACTCCAGAGCGGGGGCCGGCCCGGTGGCGTAGCAGTTAAGTTCTCACGTTCTGCTTCGGTGGCCCAGGGTTCACCGGTTTGGATCCCGGGTGTGCACCTTCACACTGCTTGTTAAGGCATGCTGTGGCAGGTGTCCCACATATAAAAAAGTAGAGGAGGATGGGCACGGATGTGAACTCAGGGCCAGTCTTCCTCAGCAAAAAGAGGAGTACTGGTGGCAGATGCTAGCTCAGGGCTAATCTTCCTCAAAAAAAAAAAAAAAGAACTCTAGAGGGGTAAGCACGGCCTGAGGACACAGTGCCTCAGCCCCCATCACAGCTCCAGCTCCACTCCAGACCTGACCCCCCAGCAACTCTCCCCACCCTGGGCTCCCAGATCCTCCTGGGCCTCAGTTTCTCCACGCTGCACTCCTCTCTCTTAATTCCAAGAAGTCCACTTCCTGGGTGCTGCGGCTTCTTCAGAGAAGTCAGGCGGCTCCACCCGGCGCCCCCCACCCTCCCCCGACCCATCCCTCACCTGTGGCAGAGTGAGCCAGAAGGCAGTCTCAAACCTCCTTACCCTCAAGAAACAGAAGCACCCAGCTCAGACACAGTCAGACAGAGAACCTAAGACTCTGCCCATCTGTGCAAACCCTCTGCAGGATCCGTCCACACAAGCCCCAACCTGCCACCCTGAAGGGCAGCTCACTCCCGTTACGCATATGCATAAACTGAGGCTTGAGCGCAAGAGGGACTCCTCCAGAGCAGGCCAGCACACAGCAGAGCTGGGGCCGGAACCTAGGCCTCCAGATGCTCCTGGGATGCCCCAAGCCTGAGCTTCCCCCACCTATGATGTCCAGCAGCTCAGAGAGGGTAAGCCATACTTGGACTCACACAGCACTGGGTTCCAGCCAGACACCGGTTAGGCTTACTCGCTCCTGAGCTGGTCAGTCTTCTTGCTCTGCGCACAGAGCACAGAGCTGAGTCCCCAGTGCGCCTGCTGTGACCCAGCTCCTCCCCACCTTCCCCCTGCTGGCCTGGGCTGGGGAGACGCTTTAAAGGCACAGGAACCTTTCCAGGTGGCAGGAGGGCTGGCTCCTGGTCCTGACCCTAGGGCTGTGTGGCCCAGGACAGCTGCCAGCCTCTCTGAGCCCAGTGGGGTCCCAACCTTGAATGAGAAACCTGAGCTTTGAGGGCCTCAGTGGGGCTGAATGAGGTTGGGTTTCAGGGAGAGGCAGGTCAGACCAAGGGTCTCCCTGGAGGAGGTGGGCTCCCCCTACTTAGGATGTCCGGAGAGGGGTCACATAGCACTGGGTGCAGCCAGATGCCTGCACCAGTGGGGGTTGGGACACAAGCATCTGAGGCTGCACTGGACCTGAGGAGCCTGAGACCCTCTCCACAACTCCGGGGGTAGGGGGTGCCCCTCCAAACACGCCCTCTCCCTGACCCTCAGGCTGCAGGTAGGGTGGCAGGCACTGTCACTCCAAGGCCCCTGGTCACCTGGACTGAAGGGAGTCACCTGACCCAGGGGAGCCTTTCCTCATCCCCCGACTTTCTGGGGCCATGAGCAGGCAGGTTGATGGAGGACACAAGGCAGTGGGGGCGGGGGACAGAGCCGTCGCTTGTGCCCCCACCGGCCCCGGCCCATCCAATGAGATGGAGCGGGTGTCCCCACAGGGCGGGCAATCTCACGCCTCCCTGTGCTTCTGAGGTCCGCACATGGCCTGCTGCTGGCCAGAATGGCTGCTACCAGCATGGCCCTGGCTTAAACTGATTCATTGACCATTCATCATTCATTCATTCATTTATTCATCCTCCCACCCAATCCTGGCCTGTCCAGATTCTTCTCTCAAGGAGCCCCCAGCAGGCCTGGAGAAGTACTAGTATGGTAAGCCAAGGAGGAGGAGAAGCCCAGGGCCCCGAGGAAGAGGGGGCTTGAGGATCAGGGCAGAGCAGCGATTGGATTGCCGAGGACACACCAGGTGGAAGGAAACACTTGAGCCTGGAGGCCAGGCACTGGAGTCATCTCCGGGAGCAGCGAGGGTACAGGAGAGACTATTGACCTCCCTGGGCCCTTCCTGAACCCTGAGGCATCAAGGCCGGGAAGGGAAGTGGCTGAGCTCAGATCGTGAAGGCCAGGCCAGTGCGTCTGGACTTTGAGAGCCTGGAGGCTGGTGAATGTATCACCGGGCCGGGTAACCCATTAACCCTGGCTCACTCATTAAGACCCTGGTGGGTGACCATTAGCTCTTCAGCCAGGCAGAGGGCAGGGGCCGTGGGAAGAAGGGAGCATTGATGGGGGCGCTGGCTGGGGACTGGTCGAGCAGGGCTCTCTGTGTCCTTGTTCCTTGAGGAGATTTCCTGGGCTGGGCTGGCCTTCAGCCAGGGGCAGCTGCCAAGGCAGCACGGGGGACACTACCCCACCATCCGGATGCCTTTCATCTCCTAATCACCCCTGCTGTGCAGGCACCAGCAACCGAAAGCACCTCGGGGGCCTTGGCCAGATGGGAGGCTCAAGGCACTAGTCCAGTGAGTGGGGGCGGCTGGGCATCTGGCCCATCTCCCACTCTGAGAAATGGGCCCACAGTGGCCTCCAAGGCCCTTCTTGTTCTGACAGGCTCAGTCTGCCCCATCTCTGTGCCTGGGAAAACAAGGCACTGGTGGAACAAGAACGGTGCTACTGGCACAGAAACCACAGCCCGAGAGGGGAAGGGACTTGCTCAAAGTCACTCAGGAGAGGGACCCATGAAAAGGCAAAGGCGCTACAAACTACTTCCTGCAAGTGGCATCTCATTGCAGCCGCGGCCATGCCCTGCCCTGCTGTCAGGTCCTGGGAGCACCTGTGCCTGAGCCCAGGAGGTGCCGAGGGAGCCTCATGCCCCGGGAGGGCCCCAGGTGGGAGACACACAACATCCCAAAATGCAGCGGTGAGGCTCCCAGTGAGTGGGCCAGGCAGGCTGGTCCTGATGCGAGCAGCACCTGACCCATCCTTCAGAACTGCAGGGACAGGCTCTCAGGACCCGCTGGGAGCCAGGAAACCTGCTGTCAGCCAGGACCTTTGGTGTCCCCTGGTATCTGCACCAAGGAGGTATTTGGTAAACAGGCTGAACCAAAGTGACTTCAAATCCAAGCACTGGAAGTCTTAATCAACTTAAAGATCACAGAGTCTCAAACATTTAGTCTGTGATCTCCCCTCTCCGGCCCCCGAGAAGGGTCAACTTGGACAGCTGTCCTGAGGGGGAGCTCAGTACCTCTAAAGACAGCAAGACCATGGTTGGTTGGCAAGTTCTTCCCAACTTTAGGCCCCGATTTGCCTTCTTGGAATGCTTTCTGCAGGCTGCGAGAGTCGGCCTGCTTCAGGTGGGCCTGGCCTCACACCCTGCCCACTATCCTGAGGCCACAGAGCAGAGGAGCAGGGACCACCCCAGACCCTTTGGCTACCTGGCCACAGCCTCTCAGAGCCATGTAGGCCCCATTAAAGGGACGGAAGGAAGACTCAATCTTGGTGAAGGGCTGGCACTGCCCCGTGGTGGAGGGGGGGGGTGTGCTCTGGCCGTCTGCAGGCCCAGGTAGAGCCCCCGTGGCCCCAGGGCCTGGCCCACACCCCCTGGAGCCATTTGCAGCATTCACCATTTCAGCACCCACCTTTGACGAGGTTGGAGCCTAGCCAAGTGCGTGGGCTTCCAGAGATGTGAGCTTGTTAACACCTGGGAACGGCCGGCAGAGGGGCCAGTCTGGCACCTGGTGGACCACAGTCCAACTCCCAAACTCAGAGCAGGATGGCAGCTCGGTCAAGCGCATGGGCTCCAGAGGCCCTAGGTTCAAATTTGTCCCAGGGTCTCCTCTTCCTGCCCTCAGATGTCTATCTGGAGAGCAGGATCATTAAGACAGGTGTTGGAGAGAGTCACTGAGGCAGCCATGTGCAGGCTGCGTGAGCCCCGACCCTCCGTGGCTCTGACATGCGGGCCTTCAGCTGCCTCTGTCCCTGTCTGATGAGCAGCTCAGAGCCTAGAACTGGTAAGGACCCCTCTCCAGCCACCCTGTCTGCGCTGCCCACAGACCGTGCACAGGTAGCATTTATCACATCATCTCATAATTACCCTCCGCGGTGTCTGGGAGCTCCAGGGGGTCGGGGAGGAAGGCTGAGTCGCATCCACACCCCAGCCCCACTCCAGCTGACGCACTCTTGTCTCCACGGCCTCAGGTCGACATGCCCAAACCTGGGCTAAGGAGACCCTCCCCAGACCTCCACCAGCCACATTAGCCAGAGTCTGGCCCTGAGCAGCCACCCCTGCTCCTCATTGGCCCATCCAGCTACACCTCCACACCGCGTCCCCACCACACCTGACCCCAGCCCCCCCCCCGGACCACCCCCTCACCTGGCAACTCTTCCTCACAGATCCCCAGCCTGCCAGTTACCCCACGGCAGCTCCAGCGCTCAGCCTGCAAACTTGAGCATGTGCTTCCCCCACAGAACATCTCTTCAAAGGCCCCCTTCGCCCCCCAGATAAATTCCTGCTGTGCTGGGGCCCCGCCTCTTCCTCCCTGCGGTTCACCCACTGCTCTCCCAGCTGGGATCGAATGCTAGCACTCTTCCTTCAGACCCCAACCTCAATGCCACCTCCTCCGGGAGCCCTCCTCCGCCGCTGGTTAAGTGCCTTCCTCGGTTCCCGCAGTGCCTGGGGGCCCCCATCACAGCTCCCCACCTCTGTGTGGTAGCTGTTTGACTTCCGGTGTCTGTCTTAGTCTCCACAGGGCCCAGTGATCATCACTGAATGGACACACGATGGCCGTCAGGTGGCTGGGTGGATTCAGTATAAAGCCACTAAAGATTCGATAGTAAAAAGAGCTCACATACGTCCAAAACTGCTGTGTGCCTGACTCTTTCCTTGTTGTGCCTAAGCCCACGACACCTTTCCCAGATGGGCATTTGAGTTTTCCCCATTTTACTGATGAAGAAACTGAGGTTTGCAGAAACTACTATAGTGGGTTGAAGAGTGTCCCCCCAAATTCATATCCACCCAGGAGCTCCAAATGTGACCTCATTTGGAAATAGAGTCTTTGTAGATGTCATTAGTTAAGATGAGATCACAATCACACTGAATTGGGGGGCCCTAAATCCAACAACCAATGTCCTTATAAGAAGGCGATGTGAAGAGAGACGCACAGACACAGGGGAGAAGGCAGGTGACCAGGGAGGCAGAGACCAGAGTGATGCAGCCACAAGCCGAGGAGGCCAAGGACTGCCAGTAACCACCAGACGCTAGGGAAAGGCACAGAAGGATCCTCCCCTCGCACCTTTAGAGAGAGCACGGCCTGCTGTCACCTTCGTTTCAGACCTCTGGCCTCCAGAACTGTGAGAGAATCAATTTCTGTCATTTTAAGCGACCCAGTTTGTGGTGATTTGTTATGACAGCCACAGAAAACTAATACAGCAACCTACTTTGCCTATGTTTGTACCCCCAAAAAGGAGCAGGTCCAGGCCAGCCCCAGGAACCTAGTGGTTAAGTTCAGCATGCTCCACTTCAGCTCCCCAGGTTCAGTTCCCAGGTGCAGACCTATACCACTGGTCTATCAGTGGCCATGTTGTGGCGATGGCTCACATACAAAAAGAGGAAGATTGGCAACAGATGTTAGCTCAGGGCAAATCTTCTTCAGAAAAAAAAAAAAAAGAGCAGGTCCAGGGGATGCAAATCCAGGTCCTGAGCCTACACTTGTGACACCCATGGTGATTCCTGGCCCTGCAGAAGGCTCACAACCTGTCCCTGTAGAGCCAGCTCTAGGGGAAACTGTCTCTATAGAACGTCTGTCTGCTTTCTTCCTCCTAGTGAGTTCCAAAACCATCCTGTGTCCTTCTTTGCAGTGGCTGCCAGGAGGCTCAGTGTTACGTGGCTACTTGCTGAGGTACCGTCAGCCCTGGGCTGGCGTTCCTCCTCCTGGGCTTGGACTATCCCACTGGGTGGGTAGAGAAGAGGCCCAAAGTGGGGGCAGGTCCAGTTCTAGCTCCAGCTGCAGGCCTCCACCTCGCCTGCTGGGTCACGTGGACCTTGGTTCCCTGTCGCTCCAGCTGGGCCACCACATGGGTGGCCGGGGGCTTGGGAAGCCAGGGGTGTGGCTGTCGCTGCTACTTGTCTCCTGGCAGGCCCCTCTTGGGGCCCAAGATGCCCCCAGTAGGGCCTGAGGTCTAGTCATGTTCCTCCCATCTGCCTCTCTGGCTCACCCACCTCCCCCCTCCCTGGCTGCCCCGGGGTGGCCGGGCTGCCCCAAGAGACTCAGTACAGGCCCCTGAACCCCCACATCAGCCTTGGGGGCTGAGAGGGCAACATCACAGCCCACCTCTCCCACCCCATGGGGTCTCCACAAAAACAGCTCTGCTGCCCAGGGCCACTCCAGGGAGAGGGCCAGCAGCCTTGAGTTAAGGACGCACGGAGGCTAGTGAGGGGGAACCATGTCCCCACTCCTGAGGGCACAGCTCTGTCTCTGGGGCCTCCCGCCCAGATCAGGTTAGGCCTGAAAGAGTCCCCAAGAGGCAACTCAACCTACCCCCCACCCCCCAGGAGGCTGAGGGAGGCCCACCCAGAGATCTGGGTCCAGACGCCACACTCCCTCCTTCCCTGGGAAAATGTCTTCCAGGAATCTCTCAGCCAAGGACACAGAGGGTGGGGTAAGGGGTGACGGGTAAGGCTGGGGGTTGGGGGGCAGTGCTCTGCTTTCTACAGAACTCTGAGCTCTGGGCATCCCCCTATGCCACTGCCTAGGTTGCCCCCTTCATGACACCCAGGCTCAGCCCTCCCTTTCCCCACCCCCACACTGCCTCAGCCTTCTCACGTTGGAGGGAGCAATTTCCAGGCCTGGCTCAGCCTCTGGAAGGACATGGTCAGGATCTGGGAGACCTCCCAGCTCTGGCTCTAGCCCTGAGTTTGTGGGGGAGGGTGAGGAGGGTCTTACCAGGCTGCCAGCTTTGGACAGGGGGTCTGAGAGGTCCCTGGGGCAATGAGGCTGCTGAAGTCTCTGGTCTCATTACCACCACGTCAGTTCAGTGACACCTTGGCCCCAGAGGAAGGCCGGCCAGGTAGCTTTGCCAAAGAGGAAACCTGTGTTGCCAGGGTGGCTCCAGGATAACACAGGCTATGGAGACGGGGAGGGGAGGCGGCTGAGTCCAGCTGGCAGATGGCAGGGGAGAAGGGGGCCCAGGATAGAAAGGCCCCACGTACAGGCTCAACAGGGGTACCCAGTTAGGCAGCAACAGGGGTTAGGGTTCAGCGGGTGGCCAAGGGATGAGGATACTAAGCCGTCCTCTGCCTCGTCTCAGGGGCTCAGCCTTGGGAGACCACAGAGCCCAGCACCCTGTCCCTGGACACACTCCTAGGGGGCAATGCTTAACCCAAGAGAAGGAGCCTGACTCTGCCCTCACTTACCATGTGCCCCAGGGCCAGCCTCCCCTCATCCCCACACACCTCTGTCCAGGCTCACCTCTCCTGCACCCATGCCCGGGCACACTGTCCTCACAGGCTGGACACACTCTCCTTGCTGTGGGAGTCGGGGTCTGGAGCCTAGTGCCCCAAATGCCCCCTACCCAGGGAATGCAGGGGCCCAGAGCTGGGGGGCGGGCTGCAGGGGACAGCAGGCCTCCAGCTGGGTGGGTCCCCAGCTCAAACCTGATCCCTGGAGGAGTCAGGGCTCCCCCTCCTCACACTGCCCCGCCTCCTGTCAGACAGGAGGACTGAAGCCAGGAGCACGTGCAGCCGGCCTGCTGCCATCCTGCCTGGAGCCGGGCTTACCATTTAACTAGCACTCTCCATGCCATTTACCTCCCAGGGGGCAGTTAGAGGGGGCGGGCTCCACCCCGCCTGCCCAGCCTGCCTGCTCTCAGCCAAGCAGGGAGGGGCAGAAAACATTTGTCAATGCCAGAGTGTCCACGCAGGGTGGACAGGTCAAATACTACTATTGCTCGCTGTGGGGGAGAATCCTGAAAGGAGGTGCTGGCACTGCCTAAGACGGGCAAATGGCAGCGGAAGCCCCACCCACCCCGCCCTGATCCTAAGTCCAGGACTCTTTGCGCCGCCAAAGCGACTGTTCCACAGTCAGCACTGGGGCCAGAGGCTTAGAGGCACCAAGCCTCCCCCGGCGGCTCCAGCCCTGGTGACAGAGCTCCAGGGCCCGGTCTAGCGCGGGCGAGGGCCTCCTCCAGCGAGACCCCCCAAAACTGAGCGTTTAGCAGCTCCGCGGCCCCCAGCAGGACCCCCGCCCCCACTTCCCCGCGCTCCGGCCCGGCCGGAGCGCGCAGTCTGCAGCCCGGCGCTCCCCGCAGGGCGCACCCCGCGCCTGAGCGAGGCGGGGCGGGGCTGGGGGCGGGGCGCAGACGGCCCGGCCTCCCGTGCGCCCGGCGCCCCGCGCGCAGCGGCCATGGGGGCGCGGCTGGGCCGGCGGGCCGGACCCGAGGCGGGCTCCGAGGCCCGGGCGGCGGCGGGGTGCGGGCCCGCGCCCTATGAGCGCCGGGTGCGCTGGCTCTGCGAGATCCAGTCCACACTCCGCGAGCGGCGGCCCGAGCGCGCCCGGCAGCTGCTGCGCCTCCTGCGCCAGGCGAGAGACGGAGCGGGCCGGCCCGGGGCTGGAGGCCGGGGAGGGGCTGGGGCTGCGGGCTGCGGGCTGCGGGCCTGGAAGGGGCCCGGGAGGCGATACTGAGCTGGCCTCGGGCACGCGAGTCAGGGCCAGCGGCGGACGGGCGCGCGGGCCGGGCAGGTTCCGAGGGGATGGTCCGACTGTCTGCAGAGGGTGGATATCTGGTCCGAGCGAGGGGGAGTGAGGGAGGGTAATCGGCTAGAGTGGGGGGACTGTGAGTGTGGAGGAGCGGGGGCCGGTGACTGTGTCCGCGTCTCTGGGGTTTGAGGTTAGTTGTGTGTGTTTGAGGGTGCCCCAACCATGGAGGTAAGCCTAGATTCACGGGGCCTGGAAGGAATGGCAAGTGGGGGGCGAGTGATCTTGCATTGAGCGGCAATGGCAAGAGGGCAAGCTCCCCCACCCTCCAGGATGAAGGGAGGCACTACACTGGACCCTGGAGAGAGGACCCAGGGAAGCCACAGCCCAGATGGTCAGCAGGTGCAACCTCACCATGACACCATGGAGGGCCAGACAGAGCCACAGCACGCAGCACGCATCCTCCTCACAGGCAGCTCACCATGCCCATTGAGTACCCACACCTGGCATCTGTCCATCACAACACCACATCTGGATGGGCAGGGGCTCTGGTCCCACACACACCAGGTACCTGAGTCCCAGATCCTGAGCCTTGGGTTGCCCTAGGAGACATGGGTTCTGGTCCCAGCATCACCACTGGGCAGGCCACTTCCCTCTCTGCCCACGTCTCCACCCCCTGCAGCAGCTGCCACCACAACCTGCCCCATCCTGTAAACCGAAATAAGCCGGGTAGGTCTTTGGCCTGCAGGTGGATGATTAGAGATGGGGAAACTGAGGCTTAGAAAGAAGTAGTGAGCCCAGGACCACTAGCCCAGAGCAAATTGGGAGCCAGCCAAGGCCAGAGCCCAACCTCCAGCCTCTCAGCCCCTCTCCTCCTGCCGCACTGGGTTTTCTTTCTCTGGGCCCAGCAGGCTGGAATGGTGGAGCTGGCCCTTTAAGAGGAGCTGTCCAGACCAGCAGAAGGCAGGCTGCAGTCTGGGGCCCTGTCTGGGTCAGCCCAGGCTCACCAGTCACCCCTCCCTTCTGGGTCCTCCCTAGCTGGCATCTGCGACTTGAATGGTGTTTAAAATGCAAACAGCACAGCAGCACCAAATCAGCCAGAGACTATCCAGAGGCATAGATCTCTGTCTGGGATGGCGTCTGGAGCCTAAGGCAGCGGCTGGGCATTTTAGCTGGGAAACCAGCTGGGTTGCCCCCTCGGGTACCAGAGGTTGGGACTTGAGGCCCAGGAAGGGGCCTGTCCTGCCCCTTAAGCCACAGGGACTCTGCATTTATGACCTTTGGGCATTCCATCACCTGGCCTGTCTTCCTGTGCCATGGGCTTATACAGGAAGCGTGTCACTCTCTGGCTTGGGAAGTGCCCACATGGGGTCTGGAGGCCCGTCCCGGCTGTGCCTGCCCCATCAGCTTGTCAGTATATCCTCTAAACAGACCCTCTGAAAGGGTGTTCAGCACCACACCAGCCCATGGGAGTGACAGGAGGAGGAGGAGACCAAGGAGTGAGGGCAGGAAGGCCAGGGCAGCCAGGGGCCCGACAGTGGGGTCTCCGCAAAGGGTGGGAGACTTGGAAGCAGGACAAGGAGGCTGGTGGGTGGGGCCGTGAATGACAGGCTTTGAGGTGCTCTGAGACTGCAGACTGTGCGTGAGTCTCTAATATCACACAGCTTCGAGAGCATTTGGTTCCCACTGAAGGGTTAAGGGTCGAGCTCAGGTGTGTGTGTGTCATAGAGCCAGCTCTGGCAGCCTGAGGGTGGACTGGGGGTGTCGGGAGGCCAGGAGCCCCAGGAGGAGCCTGTGGGAATGAGGCCTGAATCTTCTTGAGCAGTGGGGAGGGAGAGCGGGGCAGAGAGGGAGAGGGGAGAGTGTGGGGTGATTCCTGGGCGCTGGCCCAAGTGCCTGGGAAGATGGGGATGGTGGCACAGGAGATGAGGACAGCTTCAGGGCAGGAGATGAACATGCCCTGTCTGAGCTGCCTTTGGGACATCCGAGCTGAGAGAGAGGCTCACCCCTACAGAAAGGGTCTGGACCTGTTGGCAAACAGGTGGAGGCCACAGCTCGAGAAAGCTCGGGAATAGGAGGATAGAGGCAAAGGACCCAGAGGGAATGCTGGAGGACAGCGGCCTTTGGGAGTCATCAGAGGAGCCCCTAAACAGTCCCCTGGACAAGCCCAAGCCCAGAGGAGGCAAGGTGTCACAGCAGGACATTTCACCTCCAGGGAACCAGCCTAAGGGTTCAGGACCCACTTACTGCCTCCCTGAGGCCCCTGATGCACCAACCCTCTCCTGATCTAAAGGATCCACCTGCCCCCGGACAGCCGGCCCATCGCTGCCTGTGGGGAGACTCCAGCAAGGCTCAGGGAGGGAAACGAAGAGAGGGGGATGGATGTGAGGGGCTCTGGCTGGCTGGGACGGGGCCTGGAGAAGGGACGTCCTGGCCCCTGGCTCACTCAGTTCTCCTCATCACTCAGGACCTGGGCCTTGAGGGGACCCTCCTCACTGACATCCTATACAGGAACGTGGCCTTCCTCAATCTGGTGGACCCCATCTCCCATGACCTGCTTGTGAACCTGGCCCGGGACCTGCAGTGCCCCAAAACGGTGAGGCCGGTAGGCACGGGCTCCAGGCTGGGCAGTGTGGTTGACAGGGGCCAGGACAGCTCAGGGCTGGACGCTAGGAGCCTGGGTCTTCATCTGGCTTGCTGTGTGGCTTTAGGCAGGTTACTGCCCCTCTCTGGGACCTGATGCCAATCTCAGTGTATTAGGCTAGCCAGCAGCTGGAGCACATGTGAACTGTGCTTCTCAACCCTGAAAAGTCGTGTGCTGGGGAGACCCATTTCCTGAGTGGCAGCATGTGGGCCAGGCTCCAGGACACAGGCAGGAAGTTGTATGGGGACCCTTCTGGATACAGAATATTCTGACACATCTGCTAATGGAACCTAACTCCCAGCCTCTGAGTTCCAGAGCCAGAAGAGAGTCACTCTAGGTTGGAACCCCTATCCACATGTCCCATCCTGTATGAATACCCTTGGGGACAAGTGCTCTCTGCTTCCCTTAGCAGCTCGAGCCACAAGCAAGTCCCTCCTCATGTTGGCATCTGCCACCTGCAGCCTCCACTACCCCCATGCCACTGTGTCTGCCCAGAACACCCCTACTCCCATCCCCACACCCCCTGTCCCACTCCGTGGACACCTGCCATGAGCATTGAAGGTGCCGTGCTCCAACACAGCCTGTGGCCAGCCACCAGCTCCCATCCCTTCATCACAGTGAGTCCCCGCATGAAACAAGGGTGCCCACTAGGGGCCCTGATGGCTCTGAACTCCCATGTCCATATGCAGTTGTCACGAGGATTCTGAGGCTAGCCTAGAGACTTTATAGTGACCGCCAGGGCTTGCTGCCACTGTACGTACACGCTGTCTCCAGAGGGACTGGAGAAAAGAATGTGCCGGGTAGTGGAGCGTGCTCAGGGCCAGCTTTGCAGAAAGCAGGGCACCCTGTATTCCACCGGAGCTGGGCCTCTACAAGGGCCCACTTAGGACCAGGAGAGAGCCAGGTGGCAGTGCTGTAAACGGTAACCCTCCCAGCCCCAGCAGCCCAGACCCAGGCCCCAGCTAGACAGGCGCAGTCTAGCTCGGAGAGTGAGAGGAAGAAGAGCATGCTGACCTGGTTGGTTCCTATTCCCTGGGGGTGGTATCAGTGTGCCTGGTCCTGCCTCCCCCTGTGGCGAGTCCCCAGGGGATGCTGAGGGTGGGCAGGGAGTCGGCTGATAGCCTGAGACACTGGCTCTGGGCCTGAGGACAGGGAACAAGGGCCCATTGTCCCTGGGCTTCCTCCTGCCGGGCACTGTGGGCTTGGGACCAGCCTGTCCAGCTCCCAGCGGGCAGCCTCCCCTGGCTCTGTGCCAGGCCACAGCCGGGGTGGGGGGTGGGGGTGGGAGGGAAAGGCCAGTGGGCAGCTCAGTGATCCGTGATGAACGACTGTGTGCACGCACACGCTTGGGTCCCCAAGGCCCAGAGGTGGGCGGGAGGGGCTCGGCCTTGCCCTAACAACGCTGCCCCCGCAGGACTATGAGCTCTGGAAGTCCTCGGACAAGACCTGCCGGCAGCTCGTCTACCACCTCACCCCTCACTCCAAGCGGCAGCAAGGGTCCAACCTGCCCCGGAGGAAGACCCAGAGCTGGTAAGGGTTGCCAGCCACAGCCCCACCTCATGGCCTGTCCCAGGCTGACAGGGAGAGGCAGGGCTGGCCCCAGGGGAGAACCCAGGCTTCTCTCAGCAAGAGGCTGGTGCCTGAAATCCCACACTGTGGGCCCCTTACCCTCATCTGCATCATGGCCCCAACCCTGGAAGTCAGTCTGGCCGGTGGCAGCAGATGCTCCCCAAGCCAGGCTGCACTCTCCGTATGATGCGCCACCTGCCATTCACTCGCCCCTCAATCCCTGGCCTGTCACAGGCCCCAAGGTGACCTCAGCAGGAGTCAGCTGAATCTCATATAGGCTGTGAGGGAGGCAGATTCTGGGTCATGATTCCCATTTTACAGGGAAGAAAACTGAGGCTGGGAGACGCAAAGTAGCTTGCGCAAGGCCACACCTGCCCTGATTATCCCACAGCCCTTTGGGAATTCTTTGCCAGGCTGTCCAAAGCCGAGGCCTCTGGGGCCAGCCTGATAGCTCCCTCTGCCATGGGGTCCCCCTCTTAGTCACTCCGTCACAGCCTCGTGGCCACAGACTCAGCTCAAGAACTGGCTACAGGCGCCTAGGCCCCAAGGCCAGACCACAGCCCCAGCGCTCTCCCCTGCTTGCTCCCCCACCCCTGTCCCCCTCTGGCCTGGTGGCCTACACTCAGCCTGGAGCCCATGGGGTTGTTTCCTGCCATGGCAGGTGGGGGCCCCGGAGGGGATCCCACCACTCTTAGCCCCCAGTCAGGCCTATCTGCCTAGTGGGCTGTGTGCAAATGACAGGAGAGACCTAGAGAAGGGTTCTGGGGGCAGCAGGGGACCCTCCTCAGTTTCTAAACGTCCCTTCCAGCTTAGACACACAGAGCCCTCCCCCAGGGCAGGTCCCCACCCACATCCCCCACACCTCCCCTCTTGCTACCCTGGGCCTGTCCCCTCTCTAGCCCCCAAGGGCAGGGGGACCAGCATGATACCCTCATAGGAAATCTGTCCTCAGCCCCAAAGGGTCGACCTTAGGGGAGGCACGTGAAAAAACGTGTGGGCTCAGGAGTCAGAGCACCTTGATTTGGAGACCTGGCTCCCCTCATAGTGGCCTGTGACCATGGAAGAGCCACGTCACCTCTCTGAGCATCCGTTTGCTCCCCTGCAGAAGGGATAACCATTCCTCCCCACTGGGTTGCCAATACAAATAAGTGTGCCAGGTGGAGCAGGTGTGGCAGTGCAGGCACAGTGGGTTTTATAATAACAGCTCACGGAGCCTCACTGCAGCTCTCTGTAATCCTCACAACATCCAGGTCCCTTTTCTCCAAAGGGGAAACTGCGGCTCAGAGCAGTTCTGAGCATTGTCCATGGCCACCCATGTAGAAACGGGCAGTTTGATCCCAGCTTGGCCCAACTGTGGGGCCTGGGCCTCGCCCCAGTGGGTCACCGTGGCCAGTGGGGACCCGCCTGGGCTCTGGGCCCTTGCTCAGTCCCACAACCCTCCCACAGCCTCAAGAGCAGCCTCCAGAAGACTCTGCTGGCAGGGGAGACTGTTAACCTCTCAGGAATCCCGCTGTCAGCGCGGGACGTGCAGCACATAACGCGCTACCTGGGCAGCCAGGGCGCGGGGCTCGCCGTGCTGGACCTGAGCTTCACGGAGCTAAGTGACGAGCTGCTGGGCCTGCTGCTGCCCAGCCTCTGGGCGCTGCCCCGCCTCACCCAGCTCCTGCTCAACGGCAACCGGCTGACACAGGCTGCCGCCCGCGAGCTCACTGAGGCGGTCAAGGACACCAGCAAGTTCCCGGCGCTGGCCTGGGTAGACCTGGGTAACAACGTGGATGTGGCCTCTCTGCCTCAGCCCCTGCTGGTCGGCCTGCGCCGGCGGCTGAGCCAGCGCACCTCGCTCCCCACCATCTATGAGGGCATGGTCCTTGAGCCTGAGGACCTTGAGCCTGAGGACAGTGCAGCCACCGTTGCCTCCACCTGGGGCTCTGCAGCAGCCGGGCCAGGGCCAGAGCCCCAGGCCTGCTGCACTAGGTGACCCGCCACCTACCCTGGCTCCTGCTACCTGACTGACGATGCTCCCAAACACGTGAGATAGAAGGTGATGGAGACCACGGAGGTCCCCCAAGCCCCCAGAGATCCAGTGCAAATGCTCAGCCTGGGTTTAAGGAGATGGAAGGAGAATGAGCCCAATGGAGGCCAAATGGTCAACCCAGGTGGGGAGTCTCAGCCTTCTCTCAGTAAGAAGGGCCTGGCACCCACTGTGCAGACCCCACAATAAAAGGTGATGCTTCCCTCCGCCTCGACCTTTCTGCACTGTGGTCCTCAGGGCCACTGAGCACCAGCCATGCTGCTGGGGTGGGGAGAAGGGGTGGCTGGGGATTCAGGGACCCCACCCACCCCAAAGGGAAGGACCAAGCTCATCCTGACTTCCCTCCAGGTGCTCCCTGGGCAGGGCCCCCACGGAGACCAAGGTGTGGGGGTCGGGTCCATCTGTGGGCTGGAGAGTTAGAGGAGGCCTCCAGGGACCTGGCTGTCACGTTGAGCAGGGCTTGGGGAGAAGCAGGTTAAGAGCCCAGAGAGGGGCAAAGCTCGGAATGGAGCCCCACAGCAAGCTGATACCTGAGCCTAGGCTGCTGACTTCCCCACAGGGCCCCTTGGGCTGAGGACAAGATTGTGCTGACAGAAGCCTTGTCTCCCACAGGGCCTAGCGCTGCCCACCACCCCTAGTACCCACCCCCCAGGCCTCCTGTACCTGGCAAGTGGGCAGCTCTGTGGGATTAGAAGACACATCGGGCCAGAGACAAAGAGCTTGTGTGTTCCCTCCAGGCCCTGGGGCCACGTGCACAGTCCTCCTTTGTGGGGGACCCCAAGAGAGCATGCAGCTGCTGGAGGTGGGGAGAGCCAGCAGCTGGGGCCCTGGGGTGGAGCAGTTCTAGGGCTGCCCCAGGACGCAGGCTTTCCCAGCAGGGGGCTATCTCCCTTCCTCCCCAGACACATTACGGGTAGGTTCCAGACCAGAAGCCCAATACCTTGGTCACCCTCACAGCCCTGTGTGGAGAGGTGTTGGGCAGGGCAGAGACAAGAAAGGAATTTTGAGATGTTCCAGGAGGAAAATGAGGCCCAGAGTGGGGAAGCCAGTGGCCTAAGACTGTGCAGAGCCACGAGGTCAGGTCTGGGGGCAGTGGGATCCTGCCCAATGAGGAGAGACCAGCAGCAGAGGGAAGCCCATGGGCCAAGGAAAAGGCAGGGGTGCCCCTGGGCCTACATAGATGGACCTACCAGCTGACCTCCCCCACAGCTATAGCCCACAGGGGACCATGAGTCAGCATGGATGACAGCACATCCCCAGGCTGGCCAGATGCACAGCAGCCTCTTGGGCCAGAAGCGAGATGGCTAAGAAGGGTAGGATGGGGCGGTGCCAGTCCCAGGACCACGCAGGAGGCGGTGAGGAAAAGGAGCTCCCCCTCCATGGTTGCCTTCCCACCCCGAGATTAGGCCCTGCTGGTCTGGCTGCTTTTGGTGGAAACTGTATCCAGAGGCGGTGGGAAGGTGTGAAGAGCACCCAGTTCAGCCCGGCTCTGTTCCCTACTTGCTGTGCGACCTGGCCAGGCCCTCCTCTCTCCTGGTCTTGGGTCTCTCCTTTCTCCCCTCTGTTAAATAGGGCCGGCTGTCCATGGTCCTTTCCAGCTCTCAATGCTACATCCCGGGGTCGTGGCCCCTCCCAGGCCTCCTTGTTTTAAAGACATGGGCCTGCCCAGTGGCTCAGGAGCCACAGAAGTGGCTCCTTGGGCCTCCACCCTGGAACAGGGGGCTGAGGCTCCCTGGAGTGAGGCAAAGCGAGGTGGGAGGTGGAAGGGGCCAGGGCAGAGAGAAGAATGGGCAAGCCGGCCTTCGGCCGGGCAGGCTGATAAGGCAGGCAGCCGTGTTCTCCTGCCAGTCTGTGCTGGAGAGATGCCAAGCTCTCTGTGTGCTCCTGCCCGCCTGCCCTCCTCACTCCCTACCCACACTGGCCCGAATTCAGCCCACAAACCTTGAAAATCCCTGCTCGGAGCGATTCCTACCAGGATGTCGTGAGGACCTGAGGCGAGCGTTGCCAGGCGAGCTCTGGGAGAATCAAGACGGCAGCAGCTGGTCTCAATCTCCCCGCCTCTCGGAAGGAGGCTTGCGACACAACAGCCAAGCCGGAGCTTGAAACAGCTCAAGAGAAGAGGGTTGGCCTTGTTGCCATGCAGGTGCCACCCCTTAGGCTGGGGCCTCACGACCACCAGGGAAGCTACTTTACGGGCAGGGACTCTGGGAAGCAGGGCCTTGTGTGCCCTCCAGGCCAGCTCCAGCCCCAGGAGGCAGCAGGTGGACCTCGCTCAGGCCGGTCCTCACCCAGGCCCAGTCTTGGAGGCAGGTGGCTTGGCCTGATCCCGGCTCCAACACCCGCTGGCAGTGTGGTCCTCTCGGGGCCTGTTCCCTCATCTTGCGAACTAGGTACAAGCCTCCCCTTATCCTCCATGCTGGAGTGAGGGTGACATAAGGTTTGGAAAATGCCTGCTGCGTGGTGGGGTGCAAGACAGACGCGCATCAGCATCAGTGGGGCCTCCACCCAGGGCTCTCTGGGTGGGAAGGGCAGGAGCCCAAGCCTCCGGGACTAAGCAGAGCTGAAGCCATTTATTTACTTACCAAGCATGTCCAGCGCCCTTCTCTGCGCCAGGTACTGTTCCAATGGCTTCACACTCCTTTAATTCTTTTTGCACTTGTAGGAGGTGGGTGCTATTACAACCTTCATTTTGGAGGTGAGCGAACTGAGGCAGGGAGAGGTCACGCGGCTTGCCCAAGGTCAAACAGTGAGGAAGTGGAGGAGCCGGGATGTGAGCCAGGTGGCCTGGCTTCCATCTGTGACATGAACGGCTGTGATGCCACCCGTCCCCCAGCCATCCCAGAGGTGAGGGTTCACCAGCACTCCTGAGCAAGCCCCTGCCCAAGAGGCCATTGGAGGCGGGAGAAACACGGCGGTGGCTCTGCTGGCGGGCGTCCTGCAGCGGGGAGCAGACTTCCAGCCGTGCTGTCCCTGGAGCAAGACCAGTCAGGACCTCCCTGGGCCTCAGTCTTCTTGTGTGCAAAATGGGTGGGGAGGGGAGCCATGAGGATCCGGGCTCTGTTCTTTTCCAGGAATGAAAGGGACTAATGAGGAGTGGGTTTGGAGGTACTTGTCCGACTGAATGAAGCCCAGCCGCGTGCCCAGGGGTGCTGGATCCACACCCACCTCTGGCAGTGTGGCTGGGACAGCTGCAGGTGCCCTCACCTCGTGGAGCCTCAGCCTCCTCAAGCCTAAAGCCACCTTGCCAGGATGCTGCCAGCATTGAAAGGAGACATGCGCAGAAGATACCTGTGCTCTGCTGTGTACTGAGAAAGAACAAAGTGGCCAGACCAAGTGTTGCCGGCTTGGAGTGCAATACGGTACATTTCGACTTGTGCATACATCCATGAAACCAGCACCGCAATCAAGATGGTCGCACATCTGTCACACCCATACTGTCACCCTTGATAATCCCTCCCTCCCACCCCCGTCCCCAAGCAACCATTGGTCTACTTTCTGTCCCTCTAGATTAGTTTACATTTCCTAGAGTTTTAGATATACGGAATCATACAAGGTGTACTTTTTCATATATGACTTCTTTCACTCGGCATTAATTATTTTGAGACTTGCTCATGTTGTTGCGTGTATCAATAGTTCCTTTTTTTTTTTCGTAAGGAAGATTGGCCCTGAGCTAACATCTGTTGCCAATCTTCCTCTTTTTGCTTGAGGAAGATTGTGGCTGAGCTAACATCTGTGCCCATCTTCCTCTATTTTATGTGGGATGCCGCCATAGCGTGGCTTGACGAGCGGTGCTAAGTCCGCGCCTGGGATCTGAACCTGCAAACCCCATGCCACCAAAGCAGAGTGCACGAACTTAACCACTGCGCCACTGGGCTACCCCCTCAATAGTTCCTTTTAATTGTTGAGTAACATTCGATTGGGATGGATATACCAAAATTCATTCACCTGTTGATGGACACTGGGTTGTTTCCAGTTTTTAGCTATTACAAATAAAGCAGCTACGAATATTTGTGTACAAGTTTTTGCACGAACTTGTATTTCCTTTTCTCTTGGGTAGTGGTATCTCAGTACGGTATTCTTTTCTTTAGTATCTTTGCTTGGTTTTGGTATCAGGGTAATAATGCTGGTGTCATAGAATGAGTTGAGAAGTAGTCCCTTCTCTTCAATCTTTGAGAAGACTGTGTAGAATTTGTATTATTTCTTCCTTAAATATCTGGTAGAATTCCTCAGTGAAGGCACATGGGTCTGAAGTTTTCTTTGTGGGAAGATTTTCAACTACAATTCTAATTTCTTTCTTTCTTTCTTTCTTTCTTTTTTTTTTTTTGAGGAAGATTAGCCCTAAGCTAACATCCGCCACCAATCCTCCTCTTTTTGCTGAGGAATATTGGCCCTGAGCTAACATCTGTGCCAATCCTCCTCTGTTTTGTATGTGGGATGCCACCACAGCCTGGCTTGACAAGCGGTGCGTAGGTCTGCACCGGGGATCTGAACCGCCAAACCCCAGGCCACCGAAACAGAACATGCGAACTTAACCACTGCACCACTGGGCTGGCCCCTCAATTTCTTTAATAGATATAGAAGTATTCAGGTTAGCTGTTTCTTCTTGAGTGAGTGTTGGTAATTTGGGTCCTTCAAGAAATGTGTCCATTTCATCTAAGTTGTTGAATTTGTGGGCAGGTAGGTGTTCATATATTCCCTTTTAATATCTGTGGAATCTGTAGTAGTCACCTCTCTCATTCCTGAGATTGGTAATTATGTCTTCTTTTTTTTCCCTTTCCTGATCAGTCTGGGTAGAGGTTAATCAATATTATTGATCTTGTTAAAGAATTATTTTTTGGTTTCAGGGATTATTCTCTGTTGTTTTCTGTTTCATCGATACCCACTTTAATCCTTATTTCCTTTCTTCTGCTTACTTCAGGTTTCATTGGCTCATTTTTCTAGATCTTAAAAGAACCTTTTTGTCTATTAATAGAGCTGAGATCATTAATCTAAGACCTTCCTTTTTTTCTAATAAAGGTATGTAGGCTATCAATTGCCTCCCTGAGTTCTGCTTTAGTGGCATCCCACAAATTCTGATACGTTGTTTCCATTTTCAAGTTGACTCAAAATGCTTTCTAATTTCTCTTTTGGTTACTTTTTTGATCCATGGGTTACTTAGAAGTGTGTTATTTTGTTTCCAACTATTTGGAGATTTTCCAAGAA